CACGCACGCACGCACACGCATGCACGCACACACCCTCTCTCTCTCTCTCACAAACACACACGCATGCTCACACGCGCGCACCCACATGCGTGCAAGCGCCCCACACACACGCATGCACACACACATGTACACACGCACCTGCACCAGGTACCCCTCCGCCAAAAGCTCCCTGGCAATGCCTTCGACGTCGACGCACCCCCCTCCGCCCCCGCACGACGAGCCCCCGCCGGGCGATGACCCAGGCGGCGGCGGCGACGCGCCGCCGGGCGACCCGCCGCTGCCCGCCGGCGCAGGGGCGGGCGTGCCGAGCGCGGGGGCCGCGAGGCAGGGGGCTGGGGGCGCGAGGGAGTACTCCTCTCTTAACCGAAGGAGCACCCGCGCCAGCTGGCGGGGGAGGGGGGGACGGCGGCGGCGGTTGGCGGTTGGTGGGAGGGGTTCAGATGGAGAGGAGGGTCCGGCGAAAGGTTGCAGGCGTTTATGTGGTGCAGAGGGATGGCATAGATCCAGAAATTTTGAAAGGTGAGGGTGCGGGCGTGGGCGTTTGCCGCGGGGGCGTCGCCGCGGGAGCCGCCCGCCTCACCTCGCACGCAAAGGGGGAGCCGCCCCGCGTCAGGAGCAGCAGCCGCTGCAGCGCGCTGCCCTCCGCGGCGCCGGCGGCCGCCTGGCCGAGGCGCCGCGCGAGCCCGGGGCCGCCGGGCGGCCAGGGCGCGGCGGCGTCGGAGGGGCCGCCGCCGCCCAGGGCTTTACTGTGCCGGCTGTCGAGCTCAAGCTCGAAGACGCCGCCGGCGGGGCTGAACGGGGCCTGCAGGTTGGGCTGCGACGGCAGCCTCAGCAGCAGGCCGTGGCGCGCCGGCGGGTGCTGGAGCGCCGGCGCGGCGGCGGCGAGGCCGGGCGCCATGGGCGGTCAAGTGGCGGGGCGCTTGATGGGACGCCAGGCAGCCAGAGCCTGCCGGGCGGGGGCCCGCGCGCATGCGTGTCGAGTTAGGGAAGATGGCCTGGCCGATAGCAGCAGATAATGAAATTGATGCTTGCGAGTGTGGTCGTCAGCGGCTGGCAATGGGGCTGGTCCGTGGCATCGTGAGATTTTTTAGGCGCGCAGCTATCGCCTTGGTCACGCAGCCCCACCATACGACCGCACCCATTGTGCTGGCAACACATTTTTCGACGTAAATCAGCTGCACCGGGCCGCCACGAGGTAGCCGGACCAGGCGTCCCGAGAGGGGCGGGGCCGAACACCCCGTGGCCCCCAACCATGCTGGGAGAAGAAATGAAATGGATTTGACTAATGGAAAAATATCTCACCGCCGTGTCGGTCGCCTGCGGAGCCACGAGCGCGCGTATGGGCCCAGGAGCGGCCTCCTGCCTCGGGCCGCGACGAAATCCTCTCTCTTGCCCTGTACGTCGCGTGAGTGCCTCAGAAACTCCGCAGCTGCATGCCACCTGGCCCGTTCTGTTGTGTCCCGCGGGCTGTGCGGGATCTGTGTGTTCGGCGACCACTGTACTAGTATGCCATGATTACCGTATCTCAGGCTTCCAACTGAGGTACTAAACAGTGAAGCACGGAGCCGATGTATGACACCGCATGTGCAGGAACACGGGGGTAAGAGCGAGAGAGCCGCACAGCGGGTGAGTACGGTAGGAGGGACAAAGGCAGTGCGGGTTGGACAGCGATGTACCGCGAAATCAGTAAATGGCGGCAGCAAGGCAGTATCAGACGGGTAGTCAAGCAAGTAGTTAAGCAGTTGACGAGGGAAGCTGGGTTCGGTGCGGGTCGCACCCAGGGGCGGTTGCAGGCCCGCACCGTTTGACAAAGCACCGTGCCGCGTCCGAGGCTCGCTCTCTGTCTGAAAGCGCCTGGGTCGCTGCCCAAACGTCATCACATGAATCGATGCATAGTCATTGGGGCTGCAAGATCCGTGCACTGCGACTCCTGCCACCGCACAGGCGTGCAGCTGGGACGCAACGTGGGCCCGCTCGCTTTGCGAGGCGTCAGCAGCTGGTGCGGGCCGTGCATGCCCGGTATACTGCACATCCCAAGGGGCGAGAGATCTGTGTGCCTGCACGCCCCTCGCTCCTTCCCCTGCTGAGGGCCGCCTCGCTCCCCCCCCCCCCCGGCCCGCCAGCGGCTAGACGCCGCCGCGTGCATCAGCGGGCGCAACATGCTTGGGCAATCGTGCTGCGACCTCGGAGCTGGGCCGTGCCTGCAGCACCTGGATTGCAGGCAGCAGCACGTCAGTGGCCGGACAGGGCGGGGTTCCTTGGCTTGCGCGCCCGGCTGGGTCGCCCTGCCCGCCGGGAGCGGCGCGCACTCCGGCCGCTTGCGCGGCGCGGGCGCATGGGACGCATGTCCATGCACATTCAGCGTTCACCGCTCGGGACGTGCGGCCCGGCGTCACCAACTGGCGCCGCACCGAGCGGGTGCAGGGGCCCCGCTCTGCAAGCCAGGATTCAGCTGGCGGCAGGGCTGCATGCAAAGTTTGCCCCAAGGTGTTGACTTCCAAGTTTTGCACCGGGGCTCAAGGGCCACCCGCGCAGGACGCTTCTGATCAAACCTTGTAATGTCATCTTAGGCCTGGGGCGCGTGGACAACCTGGGGCCTGCGGCGTGCTGGCGGATATGGGGCGCTGGCGCGCTGCCCAAAGGGGCGTGCTGACAGCAGTGGTGTCCAGCAGGACCTTGGGTGACATGCGCCCCCTTGTGAGAGCTTCGATAACAGATCGCGTGCAATCCGCGGAATTCCATAAATGGTGCATACAGTACGCGGTTTGATGATGCTCACACCAGCTGTTTGTCCAGCATTTTGCACCGCGCAGCTTGCAGCACGAGCTCCTGCACGTTTGCCGTGCGCAACCAGACAATCTATCGTTCTCTAGAAGTATTGCTGGTCGAATTGCATCAGCCCGTGCCTGGCGATCTGGGGCACAAGTGCGCCTGTGCACAGGCTTCTGGAAGCGTGCAAGCGTCGTGAAACCCCTCGAGGCATCAGGACCGCTGGCGGTGGGTGCACAGACGGCTGCGCTGAATGGCTGCGTAGCACGCCAGCACCACGCTCTGCTGGCCAGGGCACGTTGAGGTGGCTGCGCACTGCCCGTGCCGCCGGCAAGCGCAGCCACTCTGCATCCGCAGAGCCACCATCGCTCAGCGTTCGCATGCACCCTGTCTCTCTGCCCGCCCCGCCGCCGCGGCCCCACAGCGCCGCGCCCGCCGCGCTGCAACCCAAGCAGGCTGCCCCGCACGGCTGCGACAGCGCGCAGCCGCAACCGGGCGCCGCGGGGCGCGGCCCGCAGCGGCAGGGCGACACGGCGCCGGGCCAGCCTCTCGGCGGGCGGCCGGGCGGGGACGGCCCGCACGCTCAGCAGCTGCGAGAGCGCGCGGCGCGGCTCGTAGCGGGCGCGTTCGCGTCGGCGCGCGGCGGCGGCGGTGGCGGCCCGGGCGCGGCGGTCGGCGGCGCGATGGCGGAGGGCATGCGGCGGCAGCTGTGTGACGACGCGATGACCATGCTGGTGCTGTGGGCGACACGGCAGGATTATGATGCGGTGGGTCCCTTGGGTCTGGAGGGGGCAAGTGCGGGCGAAGTGGGGGGAGCAAAGGGCAATGTGTGCGTGGCAAGGCGTGTTCTATGGGGATTTTGTGGGTGTGTGGGCGTGGTCAAGGGGTTGGTGCTGCAGAGGAGAAGGGTTGCAAAGCGGTGGGGCATGGGGTGTGAGCGTGAGTGGGGCGTCGTACTAGGAGCGAAGGGGCGGGGCCGCAGGGACGCGCGCACCTAGCACACGCACATGCGACGGGCTGCGAGCGGACAGCAGGAGGAAGGGGGAGCGGCGGCGTCGCAACAGTGCGCACCTGTGAACGCGAACAGCGAGTAGCGCTGCAGGCTGCGTTTTGCCGCGGCGGCGGCGAGGCCGGGCGCCGCACCGACACGCTGGGAGCTTGCCGGGGGTCGCTTTCGGACGCGCCTGGCCTTTCTTTCGGTCGCGCCGCGCCCTAGGCGCGCGGGGCGCCGCCCTCAGTGAGCCCCATTCACACGGGGCTGCGCCTCCTGCCGCGCCAACCTCGTCATCCCCAGGCCGTAGAGGCGCTGCTGAACGAGTGGGCGGGCATCCTCGGCATCTCGGCCGAGGTAATGGCGGAGAAGGTGGATCTCGCGATGACCTGCAATCTGCGGAAGCCGGTCCTCAACCGCTACGCGTCGGCCGGCGGCGGCGGCGGCGGCGGCGGCGGCGGCGTTGCTGCGGTCGCAGCGCCCGCGGCGCCGACCGCGGCGGCGCTGGGGGGCGGCGTCGGCTACTCAGGCTACGAGCCGGCGGCGGGCGGCGGCGGGGAGGGGGTGGGGGCGAAGCGGATGCACTCGGGGGATATCGGGGGCGGCAGCAAGAAGGCGAAGGTGCGGGGCTCACGTGTGTGCGCGAGTGTGTGCGTGCTTATTCTCCCGTGTGTGTGCGCGTGCGCATGTGTGTGTGTGTGTGTGTGTGCGTGTGTTTGTGGTGGGGACAGGAGGTGGGACGACGCAGCTGCTAGAGGATGGAACGGGCGCGCGAGGAGCATGCATGAGGCACGCCAGGGGCGGGCAGGAGGCTGCGCGGGGGGCCGTAAAGGGAGTGGGGGTGCTGCAGTGTGATGCGTTGCTGCAGGTGCGTGGCTCGCGCTGATTCCAAACGTGCCCAGGCAACGTGGGCGCATGGATCCCTGCAGCCCAACACGCACACATGCGTGCACGCACGCACACACGCGCGCGCGCGCGCACACACACACACACACACACACATACACACACATCACTTGACGCCACCCGCAGCAGGCGTCTGCAAGCAACGACCTGTCTATGTTTGAGGGGGTCACGCGCCAGGAGGCGATGGTCGGGCGCAAGGTAGGTGTGCGTGTGTGGGGAATGTGTGCGTGTGTGTATGTGTGTGAATGCGTGTGTGTGTGTGTGTGTGTGTGTGTGTGTTGCAAGGGAGGGACGGAAGCTGCTCTGTGGAAGCAATCGGGGGCTTTGGGGCAGGCGGTTGCGGGCGGCGCCTCTGATGAGAGGGGGCAGATTTGGAGGGGGGGCGTGCGCGTCACCCCTGAGGCGCGGCTGTGCAGGGGGGGGGCCCAGCAATGGGGTGGCTAACGGGCAGCAGGCCAGCAGGTGGTTACGTTGGCTGGTCGCTCGGGGCCGCTAAAGCCAGGGCGACGCCCAGGCGGCGGGCGGCGCAACGGCAGCAGCGGTGGGGCGGCGCCCGCCGGCTCGCCCGTACTGACCGCCATGCGCGCAGGATTCGGGCAACTCGCTTCGGCAGCCGCGGCCCCTGAGCTGGGCGCCGGCGCGGCCTTTGCTGTGGCGCCGGAGGGGCCGCACCGTGCCGCGCGCCTCCCCCGAAACCCCCCTCCTTCAACCGCCGTTTGACCAGGTCAAGCGTTACTGGCCGGCGGACGCTGCGAAGAACAAGGGGGATCCGTGGTTCAACGCGGTGGTGACTGACTACGATCCGGTGCAGAAGTGAGCCACACCTTCTCTCCAAGTATACACACGTGCACACGCGTTGACACACGCGCGCGCACACACACAAACACACACGCACGCACGCACCACCCAGGGTCCACGTCCTGACCTACAGCCTGGGCACCCAGCGCGAGGAGCGCGAAGACATTGACATTTCAAAGCTGCACCAGGGCTCCATTGACGTGAGCACCTCAAATAGGCGGCTGGGTTTTGGGGTTTTTTCCTGGCACGTGTCAGCTGCACCAGGGCTCCATGGATGTGAGCGGCCTGCGCTTTGTGATGCACGGTCATCTTGAGGCAGTTGGTCGTTGGGGACGGTGACGGGGAGGGGTCAAAGGGGCGTTGGGCTCGTTGGCCGCCGGGCACGTCCCAGCTGCGCCGGGGCTCCGCAGATGTGAGCATTTCAGTTATGAAGTTGGGTGTTGGGGACGGGGGTTTTCCTGGCATGGTTCAGCTGCACCAGGGCTCCATTGACGTGAGCGGCTGAAAAGAGCAGCTCGTTGTCGGGGACATGGAGGGGGGCGAAACCGGCATCGGGTTGGATGGTTTTCTGGCACGTTTCAGCTGCACCAGGGCTCCAGCGGCGTGAGCGGCGGGCAGTCGGGGGTGGTGGTCGCGGGGGGCGGGGG